TCCCCCCCCCCCCCCCCCCCCCCCCCCCGGCCCCCAGCACCTTTTTGACCCCCCTCCCCTCCCCACTACCTTCCAACTCGCTGCACGCCCGCAAATAGCCCCCGTTCCACGACCGCGTGGAAGGAGGCGTCGAGCTCGGTGTCGGGGCGTACCCGGAAGAGCGCATGTTCGTGCTCGACGTGCCCAAGACGGGAGCAAGAACAACAAGCGGAGGTGCCTCCGCCGCCGCCGCCGCGCGGCAGAAGCGGGTTCACCTCGCGCCGAACCCGGCGTGGCTGCGCGTGAACGAGGTTACGATCGGGGTGTCCTCGACGGACGCCCTGTTCGACCTGTCGGGGGACGAGGTCAGCGCCGGAGGCAAGGGCACCAACAGGCTGGCGAGGCTCGCGGGCCACCTGCTGCAGCAGCAGTCGTTCTACCCGCTCTTCCCGCCGCCCGCGGGCTCGGCGGCGCAGCTCGACATGCGCCACGCGCACCGCTGGGGCATGCCGGCCACACCTGACGTGCTGCTCGTGCCGTCCAGGCTGGCGCAGTTCGCGCGACAAGTGCAGGTATGTGTGTGCAGCAGTGCCTCACGGGGGCAGGCATATGGCACCACTATTTTTTGCCGTTTAGTTTTGTTTTCGTGGCTGCTGTTTGGGCCTCTCTTGGGATTGGTTGATTCGTGATAGTGGTGGTGGTCTGGTCGTTCTTTTTCCATCTATTTTCCCTCCTGTGGCAGCGTATCCCTGCCCGTACTGCTACACGTTGAGATGTCGCCTCTTGGCTGGGGGAATGTGGCGAAATGACTCCTTTCCGTGCGTGCGTGTCTCCGTACTACAGTATCTTCGTCGCGAGAAGGGCCCAGCAGAGCACTTGTACCCTCGTAGTAGACAAGCACAGCTAAGATATTCATGTACGTATGATACCTCTCACGATCAAGCGCTTTCACAATACTAGTGGTGTCGCGCCCGGATTGGAACCCACGACCTCGGCCATCCAGTTGGTCGGTTTCCAGACACGCAAAAGTTTGTAGAGCACCTTTTGACCACGGGGGGGCGACCCGATAGCCGCATCCACACGTGTGAGATTTGGTGTTTTTGTGTCGCATTTTGGTGAGTGATTAGGGCTTGGTGTAACGCGGGCGAAGCAGGGGCATTTCATGCAACTGGTTGTCAATTCCAACGTCCACTCTTGCCCCTCTTTGTCCCACAGGTGCTTCGTGCCTCCACCCACGTACGCCCTCTAACCCTCTCCTCGATCTGTTTTGTTTCGTTTTCTGCCTCTTTGCCTCATAATTTTCTCTTCCGCCCTTCGTCCGCGCCGCGCCCCTTTGTTCTCACCCCCCCCCCCCCC